GCGATCGAAAATTCGCCGATTATATAAACCGTGCGTTATCACGATTTACTTAATGGCCCGCGCGTCCGATCCGGGCGACGGGCATCATCGGAAGGATGGGGGGCATCCCCGGAGCGCGATCGCCTCGAATCACTTCCGTTATTTATTCCTGAGGGGCTGTCGCGAGGCGTCCCTTATGAAAAATGGCCGATCGATCGGCCGACACACGAGGTGATTAATTTCCAAGCGGATTCGACGGCGAAAATTGAATCACTCGCTGGCGAAATCAATCGCGCGGTTATAGTTACCTTAATCGCGCCCTCGCGACCGCACGCGCGTTGAAAATAAAACAGACTCGAAAATATTGGATAAAATTATTTATCGAGCCGGAGCGAGGTAAACGCATCGTTGTGCCTCCCTGTCAGTCCCATTGCGACGATAGCTACTGATCTTTGTGAATAACTCGACGCGAATTGCAACTATTTACGCGAGTATACCAGTTTACTCGCCGGTTCGTTCCGTTCATTCTCGTTAATCGCGTCGTCGTGAGAGCGACGGTTGTTAAAAACTCCCGGATACCGTCGGGATCAACCGCCGGGGTTGGCATTACTCACTCTGTTCCGGGCCGATGTCCATCTTGTCCTGCCTCTCGGGACTCACGGGCAGCATCTGCACTCGCTGCAAGCCGGCAGAGTTCGCCGCGCGCGCGGAAGCTTTAAGTCGTTATCAGATTGTTACGGTAGAATCGCGTGCGGCAGATCGCGACGGTGGTGCGAGAGGACGGCGCGCGGCACCGCGGAGCCCTCCTCATCGTGTCCCCGCTCGGGGAGGACTCGCCGGTCAGCCGGTTCCGGCGAGAAACCGCCACCTTCGCCGTCGCCGTCGTCCTCGATTATCGCTCTCCGCAGTCCCGATCTTCTCTCACTCGCACTCGTTACGCTAACGTCGACCCGGACGCTGCACCGAGCTCTCCGCTTTCGATCTACGAACGACGATGACGAGGTCTCCTTCGTCCGCGGCGCTCTATCCTCGCGAGCCCTCCCTCTGATCCAGCGTCCACTTGCTTCGGCGAAACACACTTCTTCCCTGAGCCCACCCTCGAATCCCCCCTCCGAATCTACACCCTCGTCGCACTCAAAACATCCCTTTATCGGCACTCGTCCCGGAGGAAGCCGGACTCGCGCGAGCCGCTGATACACAAGGACCGGCCGACGGCGGATGGTAGAGCGCGACTCGCTCGGCGACGGGATCCTCGAGATCGACGATCCACCCGCGGGATCGAGATCGCGGACGCGACGCTGGGACAGACAGAGTGTGTGCGAGCGAGCGAGAAAGATAGAGAGAGAGAGAGAGAGAGAGAGAGAGAAAACGCGAGCGAGAGACAATGAGACGGTGAGACGGAGAGCTTCGATCCGCGAGAGACGAGGTCGAGAGACGCGCATACGAGAGAGGAGCGGGTGGCACGAGAGAGCGACGGCCGGAGAGCGAGCGGCGCCTCGTCGTTTCGCGAGGAGTGTACCACCGGCTTCGTACGGACGCACCCCCGTGGCGGCGGCAGGGCGCAGGATCCGCTCTCCTCCGTCTCTCTCGTCGGGGGTGGCCGTGGCGCATGTGCGGCGTGCACGACGCACGGCCTGAAACCGGAGGGCCGCATGCGGGAAACGCGTAGTCGCAGCCCCGTTCCGCCGACCCGGTCTCTCTCCCTCTCTCGGTTCGCTTCCCTCTGCTTCTCCCTCTCTCTCCCTCCCTCCCTCCCTCTCATTCCCTCCCTCATCCCCTCTCACCTTTCTCCTCTCCCTGCTTCTCTCCCTCTTTTTGTATATTAGGTAATATTATAGATATATGTCAGATAATTTTAGTTCGCGTTGTGCTGATTTTCTTGCGCTTTCTGGCGCCGAATAAATAACGCTCTCTCTCTCTCTCTCTCTCTCTTGTCTCGCTCCTCGGTGAGCTCGCTCTTCGCTCTTATCGCGCATGCATCGATGCGCTTTTTTATCTTCGTTCCTAAATTATACCGCTGACAGCGAGGATCCGCGTTCGCTTCGCGCTGGGGAAACTTTGTCCCCCGGGTCGCCGATAAATGTCTCTCTCTCTCTCTCTCTCTTGTTCTCGTTCTCTTTTTCTCTCTTCGTGTGACTTTCCGGCTCTCTCACTTTGTCTCGTTTCACCCTTCGCTGTCTTTCCTCGCGAATCCTCTCGTCGCGCTCAACTCGAGGTGACGACGCGTCGGGGAGGTCGAACGCCGTCGGTCTCTTCTCTCTCGTCGAGCCTTCGAAACGCGCGATCGCTCGCCGGAGGTAGTCTAGACGAAGTAGGTGTCACCCTCCGCGCGACTCGCTCTCACAGTTTTCCAGATACCCGTATTAACACGCGTATTGCGCGCCGAAGTAGGGCGTAATAAATTGCAAGATCGTCGCACGCTATTTTATAATTCAAAGCCTAACAACACACACACACACACACACAGGCTTCTCGAAGAACAATCGATTTGTTCATCAGGGGTCATTAATATCGCGAACGACACGCTCCGTGCAAAAATGATCGCGGGCAGAACCCGTTGTATTTCTTCCCCGCTCCGCGTGTTTGCCGCGTCACCGGTGGAAATTCTCCCCGACTGTTCGCGATTCGCGACTCGAGCGGGCGCGGGGATCCAAGAAATCGATGGCCGATAAATAGTCCGTCCGCTTTTAGCGCGTCGGGACCTGTTTATGTACGCGACTCGCGTCTCGTGTGTCGCGCTTAGCTCGCACGAAATCGCGACTCGCGGACCGAAACGCTCGGAATATTCCCGATGCGTCCCTGTTCGACGCGTTCCGCGTCGGGGGGACGACGGGGGATATCGAGTAGACGTGTGCGGGAGTGTCTCCTATATGGATGGCTCTCGATCTCGTATCGGCGCGACGACCGAAATTTTATTCATAATCGCGCGCTAAAGTGGGCCAGCCTGTTTTGCGAACACTCGACCGCTTTCAGCCGCCACGAATACATTCGGACGCCGCGGTTTCACCCTAATACAGTTTCCGCCCCCGCATTCCGCCCGCCTCGTGACGCACGGTCGTTCTCTCGTTCTCCTCTTCGTCGTCGTACGCTACGTCCCAGGGCCTTCATTTAGACCTCTGAATCTCCTTAAAGCCCCGATCTTCGCGCGCGCCTACGATCCTCGTTCTCAATTCGTTCTCCTTCGCGGCAATTCGACGAGCGAGAACGACAGACCTGATACCGTCCGATACGTCGGGGCCGCATCGATATATTTCGCGCCCGGCGACGTCTGATCTCTATTCTCCTACCCGTCCCGGCCGACGGGACGTTCGCCTCAATAAACGAGCCGATAAATGCGCTCGAGGAATTCCGAAGATGCGCGCGTCTCTGGAAACGAAATCCTCGTTGAAAATTCCTCTCTCTCTCTCTCTCTCTCTCTCTCTCGCCGTGATTATTTCGTCCGTCGCCGTTTGCGAACGCCACGGTGTTACCCCATCTGGTTTTCACCCGGACAGTCCGCTTTCCCGACCGATTGTCCGGATTTTCCAATTTTATCCGGTTTTCGTCGAAAACGCGAAAATTGAGAAATATTTTCCGACGCGACGAACACACACGTTAAGACGATCTTCTGCAAATAACGGCCCACTGAAATTTTTCCGTCACTTTAACATGGGAGTATATAAGTTAAAAAGTGCATAAATGTATATTTAGTACACTTAATATCACTTTCCAGCGTATTTACCTTGGTTAAAGTAACAGAAAAATTTCTGTGGACTGTTACTTATATAAAATGTTTTCGCTGTATTTTGTTTTTATACGTATAACGAAATTTATTTTCTCGGTGGCGCTCCGTTACTTCGGAACGGTCAAGTTGGATTATTCTTTTTTTCTCCTCGTCTCTTTCTTCGAGGGGACGCGCAGTACCAACATTACCCTCGCGACTCCGCGAGCCCCGGTGCAGAATTAATTATTTATCACGTTTGCGTTACTTCGCTCTTGGCTGTCGCGTAGCGTGTGTTTCTACTCGATCGTTTGATCGCGTTCGCTCCTAGCTTATTCACGGTTCTACGTTTCGGGGTGGGATTCGAAGAAGCACTGGGAATATCAAAGATACATCCGGAGGACGCGAACGATCGCTCACCGCGAATCGTCGTCGTCCGGGCGGCCGGATTTCTCCGCGAGGAATGACAGTGCGATTTTTAATGACGCCGGTCTCGTGCTGCGACGCGCACGGCTTTTTGTTCGCCGTTAGTTCGATTTATCTAGGAGATTTCATCCCCACCCGCGGTTTATCGCGATCGATGAACGCGCGAGTCGGTACGCGCGGCAGTACGGTTAATTACGAAGAACAATTCGATCTCGTTACGAATCTTTTCAGTCGCGGTTACAACCCGATTAATTACTGGTCGATCGTTTCTTCTGTTCTTTCGCGAGCCCCCGTCGAATAATCGATTCCGGACGTGACAATAGGCGACTTTCGACGGCGCACGATATAACTCTACCCCCGTAGCGTGCTAATGCGCTAATTATTTAATTAACAAGTAATTAACAAAGCCAATAAGATAATTAGCATTTAGCACATTCGACGGAATCTATTAGTAGTATTGCGTGCGAAATGGTAATGAAATCACCCGTGCAAGATGTAATCACAAGATATGCTGAGTAATCACATTAATTATGGCTGCTTTCGTGCCCTGCCTTATCTCATCGGCGTTACAAATTCAAAGGAAATCCTACGTTCGTAGGATCAATTTACTCGACGTGAATAATAAAATCCGCACACGATGCGCGCAAGTCTCGTTCCGTGCGATTTCGGAATAATTTACGGGCCCGCGGAGCGAGTTTAACGTCAGGTTTCCATCTTAAATCTACCGATCACCGTGCAACCTCGTCAAAATCTACTTATCCCAACTTCCGATATCACAATTTAGTTATAGATAAGGTTAACGGGTGAATTGTTGTCGATGCGATCGAGAACGATCGTCAGTTCATATCATTGATTCCGCGCGCGCGGAAGAGCAGGAGGAGAAACTTCTACTTACAGATTATCGTGGAGGTGCACAGGATCACGGTGGGGAGCGCGTTCGTCATCTCTCGCACCTGAAGACGTATTTGATGCTGCGCATCAGGGCCCGCATCTTCGCGATCACCTCCTCTTGCATGAGATTAAAGCACATGGCGATCAGCGCCATCCCTGAAACACATAAACGTTATGAACGCGTTACGAACGTCCGTTGGTTAATCTCCGTTCTGAAGAAAATTACAGAGAGGAGGCCGTGAATTTTGCGCCAACGCGCGTTTTATCTCGCGAATTGTTCCGCGAGCTGAGAGAGAGAGAGAGAGAGAGCGAGCTCGTGTGGAAGCGGCCGGAGTGCTCGACGGCACTCGAATATCTCTCGCGAAAAATCTGCGCGAGCATTGATTGAAAAGAACGTAATGCGCTCGCCGAGAGCCGCACAGTCGCCGCCGGTGTGTAATCGCGTTGCGGGCTTTAAAGCAGCTGATCGCTCTTCAGCCGACGATTGTCTTCGCGCCGCGCCGTTAGGCGGCGAAAATTCCGCGGCAATCGGATCTGCCGTAGAAAACAAAACCGCACTGTTTTTTTTTCCCCCTTTCATCTCGCGATTACCGCTCGCGATACAAATGCACGGTCGACGCGAATATTTTTGATCTGCGACGCGGTTGGCGCTTTTCACGATGCGGAATTTAACTTTTCGAAACATCGAAATACCTTGAAAACGTGAAATCAGGTTTTCATCCGTCGACGTGCGCTTTTATTCTTTTCAAATCGAGCCGCAAACGTGATATACTTCGCGAATATTATTCGTCCTTTACCGGCGCGGTACTTTTTCCTCGTGAAATAATCGGATGTAGCACAGTGCCTCCGGTCACCCGCATCCGCTTTCGCGAGCGGATTTATCGAGGGGAAAGGGGAAAGACAGCCCGGAGGGATTTCTTTGAAGGCAACAACCGAGGTTCCTCGCTACGGGCTGCTAAATGCACGTTTAAACTAATCCGTCAGTGTAACAGAACGCGACGTCATATGCAAGACTCACCCAGCATCAGGTACATGGAGCAGAAGATGAAAGAGAGATCGAGGCCTTGCCCGGCATAGATCTCGTCGCCCGGGACGAAGTCGCCGAAGCCTATGGTCGACAAAGAGACGAAGCAGAAATAAGAACCGTCCAGCAAGTTCCAGTCCTCCCATATCGAGAACAGAACCGCGCCGCCAAAGATATACCTGTCGACAGCGAAAAGAGACGCGGAGAGTGCTGTCAGTCGGGAACGTTTCGTCGGACCGACGGTTCTTCCGATTTTGCCAGCGTCGTCCGAGTTCGATTGCCGGGCACATACCGAACGAAGTCAATGTGATTCTGAGCGTGAAACGCGTCGGCAATTCGCGCCTCGAAATTTTGCCCCCGATACAATTTTGGATCCGGACCCGGGAAGGGCTGTTCGACGATCCCGAAGTTCATTTCCGATCTCGAAAATTTCGCACTTTACGAAGTGATTCCACGTCGGGGTATTTCTGATAAAGCGTGATATTTCGCATCAATTGCGTTTATACTTCATTTCGAAATTTTAAGTTGGAATTTTCATCGAATTTTTCATTCGTAATAGATAGCAATTCTCGTCGGAAAGCCAATTTCCGATCTCGAAAATATATAACATCGCAAATTAAATTCGCGTTGAATATCCATCGTAATAATACAAAAAATTATTTCGCATCGATTGCAAAATTATTATATTTTATGTTTCGAGATTTCATATCATGATGAAATTCTAATTTAAATTTAAGAGAGAGGGAGAAGTTCAACAATTCTGAAATGAATTTCTCATCCCGAGAAGTAAGAATTCATAACTTCAGAAATATTCCTACCGAATCCTTCTAAATACGTCCGAGATTCATATTTTATTCCCGTATTGAAATCGCCTCGTATTTCGCAATTTTAGCTTAATAAAAATATTATCTCGAACGGAAATAGAGAGAGAGAGAGAGAGAGAGAGAGAAAGAGAGAGAGAGAGAGAGAGAGAAAAAAGAGAAATTCAGTTCCAAAACCAATTCGTAATCTCGATCGAGAGTTTATAAGCTCGCCAGCTAAGTTTCTATTAATCCTTTTTCATTCATTTATCTTTTGTATCTCTCGTCGTTCCATCCTCTAATTAGTAGTCTGACTATATCTATCGTTCTCTCCCTTTCGCGACAACTCACCCCACCATGATAGCGAGGCACAGAGTTAACGGCACCGTCACGTGTTGAGGATCGTAGCTGTCGCTCCCGTCGTCCTCGTCCTCGTCATTGCCATCGCCCTCGTCGACGCCGCCGCCATCGTCATCGTCGTCTCTGGGCGAAGTTTCTTCCGGATCCAAACTCGAGGCGTCTACCTCTCCACCGTGCGCGTTCACCATCTGTAGATGTAAATGCTGTTTGAACAGCTCTCACACACACGGTGTCCCGGAATTACCGTCGCATCCCACTCCTACGTATCCCTCGGGGAAAATATGATCGCGAGAGGACACGATAAATTTCTGATATATCGAGTATCGTATATGCCGCGGATTTCTCCCGAGCTTTGTCAACCCGCTCTAACCGGATCATCTCTGAATCCGGAAACGCGTGAGGCGGAAGTTAGCAAGTGTAAATAAAAGAGATGCGCAAAACGTTAGGAGGGATATGAGTTTTCGTAGTAAGGATGATGATGGAAAACAAATGATCTTTTCGCGTTCTCTCCCGCGTGCAATCGCGAAACTTCCGCCGCGAGATAACCCGTCTCTCGCTCGACGAGCCGGTTCTGAAAACAGATTCTCCAAATATAACGATTTAACTCGTCTCTCCCTCAGTCAACAAGTGAAAGCTCCGAATCCATTTCGAGCGAATTCTTAAACGAAGAATAAGAGATTTCCGCGTAGCTCGTGAAACTCGCGAGCCGTGTTAATCCCTTCGCTGCGGAGCTGCGCCAATAAAGAACACTCGCTCTGTGCGACACAGAATCGATATTCGATTGTGTGACACTGAGGTGGAATATAATAAGAAATATTCTAACCGAAATGATCAAACGAGACGTCGTACATACACAGCGTCCGCAAACGACGGAGCGATTTTCCACGACATATATACACGGCGTGTGCAATCGCGAAGTTACTTTCGGCGACGTATACACGTATACACTGAAAGTGCTACCGCGTTCAAATAATATTTACTTGATCTAAGTAAAATGGTTTCTCCAATACTCCTTGGCAAATATTTAGTGGAAGTAGAAATATAATTGACTGTACACGATATATGATATTTCTTTCGTACAAGTAAGCATTTGTATGTCTTAAAACAATTTGCGACAAATATTAAGCTCGTAATATTGAGGAAATATCGGAATTTACTTTTGAAAAATACTCTCTCTGTGCGGAAAAATGTCAAACCACCAGGTCTTCAATGGAAAGAAATATTACACAATTCTGTTAGACGCTCTCTTAAATTTACAACTATTTTACATTTATATTCAGTTATTTGTTTGCGAATTAAAGGTGTTACTGCGTTCAAGTAAGTATACTTACCACAATCCACTAAAATATAGTAAAACTGATGAAAAATACTACTTGATTTAAGAGACCGCAGTTCTTTAATTACGTTTACTCGATTCTAGCACTTTTTCTCCTACGTATATGTCGTACGTAGCAAAAGGGTTAAACGCCTTCGCGAATCGGAGCGAGAAGTGTTCAGCGCTGCTCGATCTCGGGTTTCAACGGGGACGGTAATTTCGAGGGCGCCGTATCCACGTGCGGGTCTTCGTCCCGCCGTTCGTGTATTCCATGACGCTTCTTCGTTAGAATGCAGACGGAGATGTGGGATTCCGGTCGCGGTGTTCGTCGTGCTCACCTGCCATCGATTTCTTTTCGCGGCCGGATCGTTCGGCACCTCCGACGCAGCCGCGCTCGGTGAAGCGTACGGCTTCCTTCGACACCTTGAAGGATCACGATCATGATTAATCGTACGGCGCTTGCGGGTTTTGATTTGACGTCATTGAGAGACACACCGGCGGAGGATTCGTTACGAATGATGAAAGCTTTCACGAGAGGAAGCTGAGATAGAGAGGCTGAGAGAGAGAGAGAGAGAAGCATTTATTCTCTAAGGACGAGAAAAGTAATTGTATTAATTTGCAAGGTGCCAGTTAAAGATACAAAGATACGTTGCGAGATGTTAGTTGAAGATACAAAAGTAAGAAAAAAAGAAATCGGGCAGATAAGATTAGTACATATAATAATAATAATACAATGCGAGCTTTACAATTAAAAGTAACGAAAGGCGGGAAGTAAGAAATAAATGTGTCTAGAGCGGTGATAAGCGAGTGCCAAATACATGATAGTTTTGTAGAACAAGAATAAGTACCAATGAAAGGCCAATAGTACAAGTCAAGTATTTTTAGAGAGAGAGAGAGGGAGAGGGAGAGAGAGAGAAGAAAAGGAGATCGATCTTACCTGCACAAGCAGCAACGGGCGTAGGTCCACTTGAAGCTCCTGGCTAGGATGTCGCCGATGTTGCTGAGGTAGAGGAGGAAAAGCGGCATTCCTACTATCGCGTACACTATAGTCACGACTTTGCCCCATTTCGTCCTGGGACAAATGTTGCCGTAGCCTGCGCAGTAAACGAGAACGCGGCGGGTGAGTTTATATCGACGAGCCTTGGCAGCATCGTCTCGTTCTTATTTCACACGTCGTCGTCCCACCTCCCCGCCGGTGTCTCACCAAGTGAACCGATTGATCTTCGATTAATTTATCGCGCTCCGCTGCAACGGCAGGTAGGCAGGCCGTCGCGCGCACAACCGGCCGCGAATTATTAATCGCGAACGCGCGATTAAAATATTCCTTCCGAGGGAGAACAAAAGCGGTCGCGTGCGGCCACGTCGAAATGAGAATCGCGAATTGTAACGCTTCGGGTGTCGTTCGAACTTCGCCGACTGTAATGCACCCTCCCCTCCTTCCACCCCGTGACAGATCGAAGACTCCGTTAACACCCGAGCGGAAGTTTCGGCCCTCTGCTAAACCTTTAATTCTACAATATAATAGAAGCTAAGATAGTAAAATGTTTGTTGTAAATCCCCAACTTTGCCTCAAATTCTCGTTTTCGCTATTTTAGCGTCAAAATAGGTCGTCGAAGGTAACGTTAAAATTCAATCCGTAGAATTAAAGTTTCGAGGAAGAAATAAAAAATCAAAAATGTCCGTATCGTCAAGGTAAGTTTTTATTAGTCTACGGTAAGCCCTCTAAGTGGACGCGAATTGTCCTTAAGAGTCCTCAGAGTAGCATTTCGAAATTTCGACTCGAGGCATTTAACGAGTCCTCGGCCCCTTTCGCGCAGGTATTACTTTAGATTGGAAATGATGTCCGTGTAGCTCGAGACGGAAACGGAATAACGCCGACACCTCTTGTCCCGGGGGGAGTTCTTCGTGGTGTCGGTCTGAGCCGTGTTAATTTCTCGGCCGGTTAGCTCTCCGTCATCACGGCGATACGGTTTCGTTACTCGCGTCGATACCTCGCAACGATCCTCCGTCCGATAATTCAATCGCGGCGTCTTAACGAGCGGTGGGCGCGAGAATGAAGCCGCGACGTGCGAGCGACGGGCTCTCGAGAGTTTCGCAGGTTTACCTCGTGAGTGAGGTCTCGTAAACAATGCCAACGAACTCACGCGGACATTCATGTTTCTCCTTTCTTACGATAACACGGCGGAACGCGCTTCATAAAACCGAACGACGAGCGCAAGTTCTTTTTTCTCTTTCCTTTAAACAAAAGATAAAAAAAAGGGAAGGAAGAAGAGTGAAAAAGGGAAGAAGAGGTGGAGGAGGAGGTGGGAAGGAGAAGAAGGAACGCTGCGTTCGCGGGATTGCGCTCGTTAACGTTCGCCGAACACGAGTGTGGGGAGAAAAAACGCGTGTCCCTCGCGCTGGAAAAGTGATTTTCCGCGGCACCGGAGGGACCCCGACTCCCGGTGCATCGGCACGATTTTTTACGAACGGAGCGATGCGACGATAAAGTCGACGGAAAAAACGAGAGAGAGAGAGAGAGAGAGAGAGAGAGAGAGAGAGAGAGAGGTGGACCAATCGCGAGTCCCCTGTGAGAACATCTCGCTCACGGCCGATTAGAACGCTGTAAAATATAAAATTACGCCGTGACATTATTATGAATATCCGATTGATCCTCGCGGCGATAATAAATTCCAACGCGCGCGCGCGTGTAGTAACGTCGGTTTTATCACGCGGTGCCCGACGGCGCGGTTACACCGCGTAAACCCTCTTTGTCGGCGGCAAAAAGGATTTAACCTACATAGCTGATAAATGCCGGTAAAATTCGAACTCCCTCGGCGGGCAAAAATTCGCGCCGCGGCGCCTAATTTCGTCGCATTAGCGTCGCATCGCGAGAGCCCGGCGGCGGTTGCTTCGACGCCGTAAAAACTCGACGACGTCGTCGCCGACATTAAATTAATATCACCACCGGTATCACAGTGGAAAAGGGGGGGAGGGGAGGGTCGCTGTCAATTGTTCCGCGCTTCGGGAAGCTGCGCGATAGAATCCGGCTGCGCTCGTCCCGTGATCGTCCGATCCGCGAGAACTGATCGCGCGTCTCTTTCGCGGTTTTAGCCCCCAGCTTCCGGTCATTTATTATCCCTCCCCTTCCCCCACCGCTCCGGCGATTTGTCCCTCAAAGGAGGAAAATGGGAAGAGACAGCGAGCTCCAGTCCGATGCCAAAAAGCCGACCCGAATCGATGCGCGATATCAGGGGCGAATCGGAGCGCGCCTTGTAATCAAGCGAAAGTCGTCGTGAAAAAAAAGCTTTCGTCCGAGCTTTTTTTCCACCCGTATGTATACGTATGTACGTGTACACACACACACGCGCGCGCGCGTGCGCGCAAAATGGAAAAGTATAAATGGGGGGACACTACGAGGATATGCATTCAGCGTGATTTGCCCGCAAAAACCTCTGTGCACGTCGAACTTCCGTCGCATGCGGCGGTCGACTCCATTTTTTTTTAAGTATCTCGAAAGTACCGCCGGTCTCTCTTTCTCTCTCTCGCCGGCGCGCTCTCGAAAATTGCGGCAGCCCCATCCGGTCGAATGCAATTCTTAGCGGCCTCGCGGTAAACAAATGGCCCGCGGCCGACCGCGCGCGCGCGCGCGCTCTGTACAATTTACATTTTGATAAAAATTAAAAGTTCCCCCGGACGCGCCTCGGTCAGCAATAAAAACGCAATTTCATGGAAAAGTAATTTATGCGACGCGGGAAAGTAATTTACGGTGTCTCCTCCTCCTCCGCGTGTCTCCTCCTTCGCACTCGGCACTAGAACGGGAGCGCGCGTAATCGCGTAATCTCCCTTTCGGAAATTCGGATTTCACAGCGATTCACCCGCGAATTTATCCACGATTTACTTTGTGCGATCCTTGCGCCCGCTCGACGTTTCCCGGAGGTCCCTTTTTCCATGGGATCACCGATCCAACAGACATCGAAGGGACCAGCTTCGCGGCGGCCCTCCCGCTTTCACATTTTCCCGCGCATCTCGCGTTTTGTCCGCGCCGCGCAAGGTTTCGTGAAATTAGATGCGAAATTGATTAAAAGTTTTGCGCGCCGCCGCGTCTCGTCCGCCTTCCCGGCCGGAGCCAGAGTGAATTTTCTTATTTGCGCCGCGCCTAAAGCGGTGTTTATAATGAGCATTTAAGGCGTGAGAACTTAAGCTTTAAGCCGTAAGAAATTGACCGATCACGGTCGAATGTGAGGAGAATAACCGATTGTGATTAGTCGATTTCTTACGACCTGTGGCTTAAAGCTTGCGAAAATTTCCCAAACATTCCTAAGTATAGCATAGATTCTCATCAGGTTATCCAGACTTACCTCAAATAGGTGTAACATATTGCGGTACTAATTGGAATTCCCATTCTAATCCCAATTATAAAACTTTAGGAAAATCTTAGGCAGAGCATATGTGGAATATGGCTGAGTTTCCCATTAAAAATCGCTACTTTATTTAGTTGGTTAATCGGAATAGAGATCCCAATTAGATCCCATACAATTTTCTATATGGGAAACCAGATAGATCCCAATATAAAATAGAAATCTAAAAAAAGAGAACTCGGAGTGAACGTTGAAGAGAGAAAACGGCTGGTCTGTCTAGGTTTCCCATTTGGAATCTTCACAGAATTCCCAACCAAAAATCCGTCATTTTTGGGAGAAAATCCAGTCAGATTCCAGTCAGATGCTAGAAACCGCCTCACATTTTCATTGTAGCACACAGCGTTTAAGTACACAACGCTTAAGTGTCCTCAGCGCCGCCGCTTCCCGCCGGCCGGGAAGTCGATTTCGTTAATTCCCGAAAATCGACATCCGGAAAGGACGATTTACGACAGCGTCCGGTCGCTCGAGCGCGCGCGTTCTCCTGTGTTCGCGCTCGCGCGTCTTTTTAGAGACGATAAAACGACGGCCGACGCGGCCGACTGTAAATGCGACCGTAAAGCCGGCAATAAACGGCCGGTTCCCGCAGCCCCGTGGGCTCTGTAAATACCGGCCAAGTTTTACGACGCGCTCCTCCCGCTCCTCGCGAAAAGGGCCCGGAATTCACGGACGTGGACGGCGTCGTCCGGATCGTTTTGTGATAATAAGCGCGAAATTCGCGGTGCATCCGCGAGCTATCGAAGCCGACGCTCGTTGTCGTCGTCGGCTTAACTCACAACGCGGCCGACGCGGGGATCCCCTGAGAATAAAGGCCCTCTCTTTCTCTCTCTCCCTCTCTGCGTGAGTGCAGACTTCGTGAACGGGGAAACTTTACGTTGGGAAATTGATAACGCACGTTTGCCTGACGAGATGTTTAATAAAACGACGACGCGCTATATTGGATTTTTCTATGTGAGCTTAGTTACTTTTTTTACCGCCTCTACGCCCTTTCCTTCTCTTCTTTCGGATTTAATGTACATCGTTACCCTTGTTGTCGCGGATTTACCGTTTTTCGTGAGCCGTAACGCAAAAGGGTTTTAAACTGAACGTCCAATAAATTAGGCGCTCCCAGGATGTTTTCCTTGGCGCGCGTGCACTCCCCAACCTCCCCCCTCCCCCAACCCCCGAGGAATGTAAAAGAGATTCCACTTAATTTATATCTTCGAGTATGAATTCATGATTCTACATTTTTCAGGCACAGATTTCATTCAGTACGGTCGGTGTCATGCGTGCTGTGCCATTCCTTAGATTGAAATTTTGTATTATTTACATCATCATCTACATTATTTTTAGCCTTCCACATGTACACGTAATGTTGAAACTATTTTCATTAGAACCCTTGTAAAACCTTATCGTTATAACTAGAGTTGCTTCAGCGATTTTCAATCTTATGCGTTTTGCGTCAAGTCCTGTAACTTTCTGTCTGAAGAATGGTACAGCGTACATGACGTCGACCGTGCCTTTTGGTACGAATCCGAGATCCCACGCGGAAAAAAGAAGTAGATCCCGTGTAATACAACTGAAATTTAGTTTCTCTCATGAAATTTCTTCTCTGAAATTTAATTTGTCTCATTCTTTTTGTCCCTCTACCCAGTTTTTAACTGCTACAGCTAAAAACTAGGTCTGCTGGTAACGAAATTTCAGTTGTATCACATGGA